ATGCAGCGATATTCCGATGGCTCAGTTCATAGTGAACATGAACAATTCGATGCCTTCTTCTCAGAAATTCATAATCCATATACTTGATAGTACTCACTTGTTTGTCCAGCCACATGTTGAGGGGATGATTCGCAGCGCCGTTGCCGAGTTTAGAGATCAAAACTCTTACGAGAAGCCTGCTTAAGATCACATCATTATGTTTATCTCCTTCTTTCGGGGTTTGATTCAGATGAATAAGAAAAAACTTCAACAAGAGAGTTTGTACAAGATTAGATTTACTCATGAGCATTGACAAAGTATACTCTCTGTACCGGTTTGGAATCAGTCTGTTTTCTCTGGTTTTGTTGATTATTAGCTTGACACTCTCAAATGATGATATTTGGAGTTGTGAGAAACTCATTTCTTACAAGCGAGAGAGTTTGAGACTGTTTCTCTGTTGTCACAAAACAATCGGTTAGTATCTAAACCGGACTAGATTCAGGAAAATTGGGAGTTCAAATACAATTGCATATGTAAACCAATCGGTTTAAACCAAACCAATAGAGTTGATAAAACCATCCATCTTCTTCAACAAAATAAAACCCAATCTGTACATTTTTCCCCCTTTCTAGGCTAATAATAAAAAACACAAATTCAGAGTTCGGCTCTAACACGCTCGACGAGCATGGCGGTCTCGCTTAATACAACCCTTCAACAGCCTTGTCTGACTCCGAGGTAATCTTCGATTATCCCGAAATTTGCATACTTATGTCACTGATTATATATATACATACACTTGCATCTGAATGATTTTTCTTATGGATTTTGCAGCTGTAGCATCAAGCTTTATTCTGGGTTGAAGCCTCAATCTGCAAGTTCGTTCCTTTCTTCTTAATCCGTTCGGAAAGTTTTTGTTTTTAATCGAATTGGTTCTTGTGATGCGAAGGAACTGATTAATTCGTGTTACTCTCCTCTGAATTTGTTCAGGCTTTTTAGCAAGTGGGTATCAGAATTTGAATAAGGAGTTCTATGGCAGAGTTCACAAGAGTTTGCAATCCGGGTAATGTGTAATTCTTCTTTTGCAGAATTGATTTTAGGCTTGGCTTATGCTTGGAAGCTTTTCTTGTTCAATTATGCTTAAATTTAGGGTTTTTTTAGCTGCTGCTATTTGGGAATTTACATGATTAGTGATGGAAGTTCCTGTAATGAATTATGAACTTTGAAAATTGAGCTAAAGAGTTATAGTGCAAAACGAAATGTGGCTTGTTGATTAGTTGGTTTGCAGATATTAGTATGCGTTTGAACGGTCATTTCCGAAATAGTGACGGTTCATTAGCTCTGTCTCTTTTAATTGCCGAGTTGTAAACGCAGTGTGGTTTCTGTGTGTTTGCAGGACTGGGAAAGCGAGTAGGTCAAGGGTAAAGATGATGCCTATAGGAACACCGAGAGTGCCCTACAGAAACCGAGAAGAAGGCACTTGGCAATGGGTTGATATATGGAATGCCCTTGTACGTATATGCGACTTTGTGTTTCATAATCTTATGTATATCTATTATCTGGTCACTGAGAAAACAAAGCAACTTTTGAATCTTTGATGTAGTATCGAGAGCGTGTAATCTTCATTGGACAAAACATTGATGAAGAGTTTAGTAACCAGATATTAGCGACCATGTTGTACCTTGATACTCTTGATGACTCGAGGAGGATTTATATGTACCTAAATGGACCAGGCGGGGATGTGAGTTTCTCTTTCGTTCTTAAGATTGTTTTGTTCTTTGCTTACTTCTCTAGATTTTTAAATCTAAAGATATTAAAAGTTTGTCTTTTTTTGTAGCTTACTCCAAGTCTAGCCATCTATGATACAATGAAGAGTTTGAAAAGTCCAGTTGGGACACATTGCGTTGGGCTTGCCTATAACCTTGCAGGTTTTCTTCTCGCAGCCGGAGAAAAGGTAATCATTTTTGACATTTGTTGAATCAACTATGCATCTTTCACTTGTTAAATGACTATATATACTTGGAACAGTTTAAATGTATATGCAAGTCTCTGAGTACATTTGAAGTTGAACTATTGTCTTTTCTTTTTGCTGTGTAAAGGGTCAACGGTTTGCGATGCCATTGTCAAGAATTGCACTCCAGTCACCAGCCGGTGCAGCCCGTGGTCAGGTAAATAAGCCACATTTCAACTTTTCCCCCACTAAGATCAAACGATTATCGGATTCATTGTTAATGATCAAGCGACAAACTGCAAACTATCTCAGGCGGATGACATCCAAAATGAAGCTAAAGAGCTTTCGAGGATAAGAGATTACCTATTCAACGAACTAGCCAAGAATACCGGGCAGCCTGCAGAAAGGGTTAGTTTTGTTTTCGACCAACTGCTAATTGTACTTGCATTTCATAATGACCGGCTCAAATAGTTCCTCTTTACTATTCTGACAACATTCGAATGCATACTTATGTTACAGATCTTCAAAGACTTGAGCCGGATGAAAAGGTTTAACGCTGAAGAAGCTATGGAGTATGGACTTATCGATAAGATTGTTAGACCACCACGCATCAAAGAGGACGCTCCTCGTCAAGACGAAACCGCAGGTCTTGGTTAGTCTGTTTTGTTCACATCAATGGCATTTGTAATGTCAAAGTTTCAATTTTTAGGTTGTTGTTGTTGATTGATTGTTTCCGAATAAAATCGCTTTTTCTTGTTCTTTCATTTGACCGATTTTCTTGGCTCTACAAATATTTTAAAGTGCTGTGTAAGATATAAAGGAGTTGATTTTTCCTGAAAATTTCAACGAATAAGCAACCATTGTAGAAGATGAAGCTTAACAATAAACTCTTGCTTATGTTTTTGTCTGGCTTTCTTGTCTCGTCGCTTCTGTGGTATACGAACCACGATGCAATGTACAAACCAGTTCATGAAACCGACGAAATTAACACTCAGAACAAAAATCGTTTAAAACCAATTTAGTAATTCGACATTTATATTTGTTCAAGGTAAAAATTCAAAAATCAAGAAGAGATTAACGAACCAGAAACTGGACCCAACATTCTAAGTTTGATTAGAAATGTGAATTTTCTCATTATTTTTGTTGTTCTCAAAATTTTGAACTCTTTTTTCCCATTACGAAACTTGGGTATTGCCTTGATATTTAAGCTACTGGCTATGCATTTTACTATTGCGGTATGGGAAAAGTTGAAATTAAGCAAATAATGGCCAAATTAGCAAAATCACAACACAATATGATTTAACTAAAATATAATTGGACATTCACTTTTCAATATGGTTTATTGCTTTCAAATGAACATGGGGATGGTGGATGGTTGGTGACGCATGGAACATGACAATGTCTTGCGTGACTTGTCATAATTATTTATAGTGTAAGTTAACCAGTAATGTTATTTGGTAGTGCCAAGTTTTTATCCGATGTTGATTTGGATCATCCAAAATTATATAACAAGTGATATTTTTGGAGGTGAACGTGTGTAGATTTAGACGCAAGATATACAATTTATTAAAAATCTAAGTCAAGATTTTATATTATGAAAAATGGCTGAGGTATTAGCATAGAAAGTGTCGGTAATATTTGATACATTAAACTAATTAACAACTTAGACCTAATACATGAGAACGACGTAAAATATATTAATTATTGTACTACATAGATGGATTCATTGGATTATACATTTCCAAAAAGTAGTAATATTTTTTCTTCATGTTTTTACTGGATTGGAGATAGACATCTGATTTTTATTTGAGATTATGAATTTGAATATTGTGACATAAACCTATGTTTACGCTTTCTTCCACCAACTCTTCTGAAATAATATTTCAACAAAATAAAATAAGAAATTTAGCAACGTGGAATGAAAATAAGAGAGACACCAAATGTAACATCATTTTCCAATTACTCCATGAATCACCCACCAAAAGCTTTTATTGGCTACCTACCTTTATTGTCCTTTTTCTTGTTAGAAAATTATGATGGAAAGTTCCTATATTGAAAATCTAGAACATACTGTACTATTTTTGGTAAATTATGAATTCAATTTCTTTTTCAACTAACGCATTTTCTCATAAATAATACAAACCACGAACAGTAGGAAGACCCTCTCATAGTGAGAGAATTTGAAAACTTTTATTCAAAAGTGAAACTACAATATTAATTTTCTTAAAAAAATAGTGGACTTGTTTATAACATTTTATTCATAGTTTTTAGCAAAAACAAAAAAAAACATTTATTCATAGTCAAAACGACATATGACTTAGGTTCGGTGGAAAGAATTTCTGTAAATGTTTCGACACAAAATTATGGGACATTGTTGACAAATCAGAACATCTATATTTTTCTAAAATTTAATGGAGCCAAACTTTAAAGAAAATACAAGTCAACCACTAAGAATCTAACTAACACACACAAACATAGCAATAAAACAATAATTAATATTAGAAACCTTTTTTTACAACCCTATAGCACCTAAATCTCCTCTCCTCCTTTTCTCTATTTACATGAACATGACCAAACATTGCCTAACTTTTTATAAAAATATACCAAACCACACTGATAAAAAGGATTAATTCTTTCCAAGGCACGCGGACTTCTTTGGATAAAGTCCGCGTGCCTTTCAAAGAACATAGAACCAGTGGTTCGGTGAACCCGAGATTTTAAAGACTTTATGAACATGATTTGATCAGACCAAAGTTGAATAGATTTCTCCAAACCATACTCCCAAGTGAAACCAACACTGCTTTAGTCTGTTGATGTTCCTCTCCATCTTCCTTCTTGTGATTCACCATAGGCATTTCCTTCACTCTTAAACAATCCAAACCGATTTTCTCCCTAACCGATTCAATCAGTTTTGGGTCGGCTTCGTCTCCATTCGCATCAGTCACATAAAATATGTTTGTAGCCATTCCGCTGCTAGTTGATATCTCAGTTCTTGTAACATTCAGACCGTTTTCTCTGAATGTCCGCGTAACTTCCGCTAGTAAACCTCGTTTGTCAGGATGCCTCAGCTCTAATCTCACACCCTAAACACAAAGAAAACCACATAAAAGGTTTAGATTACCGATTTTAACAATCGAAAAATCAATCATTTGCAGGGTAGTGTTATACCTCAGAAGCTCTTCTTTCGACTGCAGCTTCTAAGCATTGAATTACTCGTTGTCTCTCTGCTTCTGAACTTATCGGTGATCCATCCTTAT